TCTGCAATCTCATTGCATCATTTGGGGTTTTCGCACATTTCCATGTCTCATTCGCCCCCAAGATGTAATTTCAGTTGTAATTTTATTAACATTTTCAGTAACAACCATATTTGTAGATCACAGCTTCCGCTGTTTCTACCATATCAGGCCAGCCCCGGCTGCCTCAATGCTAACCTGTCATGTAGTTGCAGCTTCCGCTGCCTTTACCAGTAACACATAACATCACGCAGTTTCAGCTTTCGCTGCCTCTGCAAATAACACAACCAGTAGGTACAGCTTCCGCGATATCCTACCCCTCAATTCGTACTAATGACTAACCTATTAACCTGCAGCTACTGCTGCACTAACCAGTTTATCTTTTATTATTGTTTGTATTTTTATAGTCTTTATTACAGAGTTTTACTTTACAGTGTTTCGTTACATTTGTATTTTCATTTACTCAGCCAGCAACAATTTGGTGTTGCCCAGTTTTATCATTTACAAGGTCTGTTACTTTTCCTACCAGTAGCTAGTGAAAGCTACTACTTTCACGTTTGGGAGCCCGCTGGGAAATTTGATCTAAGCTGTGTATTCTGACTGATCCCAGCAGCGGGCTCCCCTGTTGTTTGCCAAATAAAGTACCTTTACCAATTTTATATGTTGTGTCATAAATTACAGTAATATAGGGGAGGTAGGTCAATATCCTGTGCAAGTTATCTTGAGTCAGTATGTATACAAATATCACCAGTCAGTAGAGTTTCTTTGCCCTAATGCAATTTCTCAGCACTATTGTCTCTGTCCCGAAATATGTTTCAGACATCACACTAATCCTGTTGGTACTGAATGGAAATGGAAGATGGACGATGCGCAAACTATTCTGGATGGGGCCATGAAGAATCATTACCAACTCATCAAACAGTTCAGAGGTAATCTAAGTTGTTGGATAGTTAAAAAAAAAAATTCAGAGATATTTTATGATTGTGTCAAACCAACAAATTTATACTTTTGATATTTTGTGGAAATGTCTTTCTGCCCACTGTGAAGAGTTCAGCTCTCAAGAAATTGTTTTGATTAACATTAAAGATGGTTGTGACTTTCAGGAGAGGAATTTCCTAAAAATTTGCTAAATTATTCTTTGAAATTGTTTTGAATACAATGGTACTGGGGTACCTGAACTGGCTTTTGAATTGTGAACTACAATGCCCATTTTGCCCATTTTCTAATCAAAAATAGACACCAAAATATGGTTTAACGCTCCAAAGAAATTGCAAAGTCATTGTTTCCATGGACATATGTGCAAGCATTAATAGTTTATTATCAACAAAGCATTCTTTGAATCTACCATACATGGCGTACTTTACTGGTGCAAAAAATTGCAAAGAAAATTGAGGTGCAGTTTTCAAACTTATACACACGATGACAAGAAGCATCAACTATTTTTTGTTGTCCTAAGTGGTGTCACCTCAGATTAAACATATTAACGCGACAATAACTATGATTTAGACCATCTTTTGTTTAAATATAACCACATGAAGATGACCGAATTACAATTGCATGGGCAAAGTGACCCTAATGTCACATAAAATACGATGTGAAAACTAAGGGTCAAGTAGTCACCATTTCCCTGAATTGATCATGTGAGACTGTAGAAAATTATGATATACGATGCACACTATCAGTAGAAATCAGGAAATCATCGGTGAAAAACCTGAGAAAGGCTTAGCATAAGTTGTCGTCAGTAAGTTGTCATCCTGTATCATAATCTCTGAGGTTTGCTTGACAAAACTGAATTTCAATAGATGGCGCCCTCTGGAGTCCTGGATGCACCCCAGCGGCCATCTGTTTTTGAGTTTCAATATTTGTATAGAGTTTATATGCTATACCCCTACATTCAGTGTCCATATTTTGGCAATGACCATTACAATTTGAAACTGATGACACAAATCAGAAAAAAAAGATTGATAATGACAGCTACTGCCAATTTAATGGTGTATAATAATAACCATAGCCAACGCCTCAGGTCACCATATTGGATTCCAAGTACCAGGTAAATTGTAAACTTGAAGGCTCACACACTATCTTGTATAGTAAACTCTCCATCCAATTGTATTAAATGTTGGTGTTTACTTGCCTTGCCAGGTGTGCCAGGAGTACAGTTAGAGCGATTCCAAGAAGCTATGCGGGTGAAACACTGTGCCTTGTCATTGGTCGGAGAGCCAATAATGTACCCAGAAATCAATAAATTTGTGAAATTACTACATAGACATGAGATCTCAACTTTCCTTGTCACTAATGCACAGTTTCCTGATGCTATCAAGTGAGTATTGTATGGGATTGGGGTTGTCATGACAACATAAATATATTGTTATCGATAATCTTTCATTGGCTGTATGTCATTCATGAACTGTGATTGGCTGAAAGTAAACATGTGATAATGGCTCAAGAGATTTCAGGAAAGTGCTACATAAATCAAGGGTTTAATAATTTTATTCGTAGTCATTTGTTTAACAATTGTCAAGTTTTGGCACCATCTTGAAAACTGTTTTAGTATAGTCTGCTATATGAAATGTTGATAAAAATTGACAAACCTTTTGATGAAAAAAAGCAATATCAGAAACTATCTGTATGATTCAAAATAATGATGAAATTTTACAAAATGTGAAAATATTTGCACTGAATTTTAAGCGGAGAAAAATGTCTGGCAGTCAAAGGTTAATAATCACTGAAACAGTCTTGATCCAGAATAATCTGATGACTATGTGAGCGTCAAACAGTTCTGGACGAGTCTACAAGTTGTAACCAAAATCTATTGTTTTGACTGTATGATATTAATGTAATGGAAAAATCTAGTTTGATGATGCAAGATCACTAAACATTACCAAACCAATGTTTTATAGCAATTGAAATGTTTAGTCATTTGGAAAAATCATGTTTATGTTTAAGTTATGAAAATGAAAAGACTATTATCATTGGTGATGGCTGGTCTATATACATTCAGTTACAAATGTTTCTTCCTTGTTACCTTCTGTGTGTGTGAAACACTCAAGGGAGATAATGAGTTTGGTCTGTCTGTCTGTCTGTCTGTCTGTCTGTCTGTCTGTCTGTCTGTTTTGATGACATTTGGTACCTTGGGATAATGCACAGACATGATTAGTTTTGGGGCCATGTCCATGCATATTAAGTAGCTAATTTGCATATAAATTTTTGGATATTTTTTTTCATAAAACAACAATGATTGCATATACTGTGTATATACATGGGAGCTTTGCAGAGTTTAAGTTTGATTTTAATGTACGATAGTAAAATTTGGTGTTTGTTGAGTGATTTATTTTATTTTCCAGAGATCTGGTGCCCGTCACTCAGCTGTATGTTAGTGTTGATGCCAGTACCAAGGAAAGCCTCAAGAAGATTGATAGACCTCTATTTAGAGACTTCTGGCCAAGATTTATTGAGAGCCTCAAAGCACTTTCAGAAAAGGTTTGTACCCATAATCCTTCAGTAAACTATGTGAAAGAGGCCATGTGACAATGAAGAGAGTTACCGATTGGTCAATGAAGATAAATAGATCTACATGTAGTCATTGACATGACATAGTCCCTTTGTTCAATAGTAAAAAAAAATTAAGTCTGCTATTTAGAACTGAACTTGGAACAAATATGAATCAATTTGGGTGACACAGTCTAAACATAGGTCATTATATAATTCTCCATTTTCCAACTTCATCTGAATTGAGACTATTAGTTTCTCATTCAGACAAAGTGTCAACACGATAACATCTCCACCTGTATCTGGACATGCCTGGGAAAATTACATTAAAACTTCACACATATACTGGTATACGTCCATTTGTTTCATGATCTGATTAAAGATTGTCTAATGGTGATGGCAACCGTTTTTATGCTTAAAATTCAACAAAATTAATCACTTTCACCATTCCAGACTCAGTCTTGGTTCTGTATAGATGGATTTCATTGAACCATGTTTTTCCGATCGAATTCCTAAATGGTCAAATGACATAAATATTCTATAAAATGAATGCTGTGCTACAGCATGACATGCCTTGACTAATTGCAATCAAATTTTACAACTACATGGCACATCATGTTATACTTGTTCTTTCAAGCTCTGATTCAAAATGGCGGACTGATTTCAGTGTTGCTTACTATTAAACATGGGGAACTCACGTCATGTCCTTCACTATATATAAGAAGACATGAAGCTTTATATTGTGAACCTAGGATGGATAATACAAAGGACATACAATATTTCATAACCATGTTGAGTCATCTATGTGATCTTTATTTAGGGTCAGAGGACTGTTTACCGACTAACTCTTGTTAAATCATGGAACGTGGAGGAGATACAGGCATATGCTGATCTAGTACAGATTGGAAGACCAGACTTTATTGAAATAAAGGTATTGTAGCGTGCACATAGTAAATGTTGAAGCTTGAAGAAAACATTTGACGTGTTAGTTCTATTAGAAGCATATTGTCCTCAGAAATTATAAAACATACTCAGCATTATGCAAACATCTGTGATTTTGAGAGATATTATATAGTCGCAAGAAAAAATAAAATTATACTCCAAACGACAATTTCATTAGACCAAAAAAATTTTGCACTCAACATATTCAGGAATGTCGTAAATTCACGTCTATAGACGTCTTTTTCCCTTTAACTTCGGTCCGATGCAAAATTACTACGACCGGTCTATTCTGAGGCATATTCATTGCTGTTATTTATTCCTGATATGCAGTAATATTATGGAACCCAGGAGTGAAAAGATGAATGTAGATGTACCTTTACGTGAAGAATTCTATGTGTCAGGTCATGTGTGGTTATAGTTGTGTATAACACATTAGATAGAATGCTGGGTTTCTCATTGGTTCATGCTTTACAATTCATTAGCATATTTATCAGCTCAAAAAACGTGGTGTCAACTGTAGAGGGCGTGGTGGAACAGACCAGTCGTAGTAATTTCTGACAATCGCGAAAGATTCTAAAAACTTGTTCCTAAGATAAATACGTCAGTGAAAGTGTCGAAGTGCATTTTTTGAAAAGTGTGCAAAATGTGGCACCAACACATTGATTGGAAAAGGGGTTCAACGGGTTTGATAATTTATTACATTTTATTGGTAAACGAGTACAAAATCTTACAAACTATATTTTTCTTTTTATCAGGGTGTTACTTATTGTGGAGAGTCAAAAGCGAGCAGTCTGACTATGGAAAATATTCCATGGCACAGAGAAGTGGTGTCGTTTGTACAAAAACTGACAGATCAGCTACCTGGCTATGATATAGCGTGTGAACATGAACATTCTAACTGTGTACTGATAGCCAATAAAAAGGTAAGTTTTAGGCACTGTTGGGTTAATAATGTTAGATTGAAGGTACTAGTGGGTTAATAATGTATTATCTTTATTTTCCCAATTTGTTTACAAAGTGATAATAATAATCATAGTCAATGTATCAAACAGCATGCATTCCTAATTTAGAAGTTGAATATCAAAATATCAAGAAAATATATTATTTGTTTTTCAGTTCAAAGTAGATGGTGAATGGTGGACATGGATTGACTATGATAAATTCCATGAGTTAATCAAAACGTTTGAAAATAGTGACGGTGCTGCAACATTCACTGCGGAGGATTACATGGCGAAAACACCAAATTGGGCAGTTTTCGGTTGTGATGAACGTGGATTAGATCCTGTAGAAACAAGATTCCATAGGAAAAAGAAAAAGGATATTTCAGGATGCTGAGAACTTTCTAGCTATGTTGAACATTGCCATGGAAACGGCAAACTACTAGCTGTGTTGAACATTGAGGATTGGCAAAAGTCAGAAAAGAATGAATCATTAACTTCTTGTAGGCCAAACAGATTGTGTCACTAATCTGTTGAACCAAGAGCATTTTGGCTGCAGACTTTACCAGCTCTTACACTTTAACATCATTGCTCCGACCCGGTACATCACATAGAATTCAGTGGCCAATACATTATTCCAAGAATGTATTTCACCCAAAATTTGAGAACACAGCAAAGTCAGTCAGGATACTTTTTATTTCTGCAAAAAAAGGCAATTGCTGAATTCAGACAGCATGGCATGGCTTTTGGAAAAGTTTGGATTTTATAATTTTATCTGTAACTGATCTTGTTTCAGTTGACTGTTGCATTATGGTCAGTGTGTTGAAGAAAACAATGCCATGCGGTAAAAGATACTTTTATTCTTTTGTAATGGATTCAAACAAAACTAAGTTTTAGGGGACTGTTAACAAACAAGGTTATTAAATAAATTTGATAAAATAAAATAATGAGTACATCTGTTATTTATTGTA